TTATCCGAAAAAGCAATTCCTCTCTGCATTCAAACCCGCTGCTTTTCGAATGATGTCTGGGATTAGGTCGCTAGGCTATCATGATTGGAAGACACACAATACATGAAAACCTCCTACGTCAATCACAACCTTGTACGTGCTTTTCCATCAGTGTTACTGCATTCATTCAAACTTTTTCCGTGTTGAAAGTGATACCGAAATGTTACTGGGTCCCACCTAATAATACCTAATAATAATAATAAAACCTAATAAAAATAATAATAATAATGATAATAATAATAATAATAATGCTGCCATTGTGACTTTTACAGAAAAGTAACCAGGGGTTAACCAGTCCAAAGCATTTTAAGTGTATGGGCAAACATCAACTTTGCCTTAAGATGCTTTTGGGAAACGGGGTGCTAACACAAAGGGGTGCTAGTCTAAAAGTTAGCATTAATTAACTTATTTCAAGAAATTACTTCTTTCACACATATGGCACAAAATGTAAGTGAACGCCACTGCACTGAGGACAAGTTCAATCAGACTCACCCCATCTTAAGAATAGTTCACCACCTCCGATTTTAAATCAGATTCTGCAGCTGAATACAAGATTAGGTGTTAACATGGACATTTCTCCCCATGGACTTTGAAGTAGGGCGACACAGAGACCTAATTTCTGTTAGATGGAACCATATATTATGTGGGTCAGCTTCCCAGCCAGTGTTCACAGTTTGCATCCTCCCAAAAGGCATTGTGATTCCATATCTTGTGAATAAATGGCCGTAATATGTCTAGGTGCAGCTCTTGAGACAGGTTGTTCATATATCTGACTGTCCGCTCATTGTGAGATGGTGTGTGTTCCCTGTGGTTTGTGACGCACCTCCCAAATCCATCTCCTGTACCAACCTGATTTCTCATCTCGTGTCATTCACTGGTTAAAAGCCAAAACCTATGGCTACACACATATAAGAAAAATGCACTTACATGTCTCAAGGGTTTTTGTGCTTCCTGTTGCTGTACTTTATCTGTGCTGTGTGTGTACATAATCCCTTTGGGGCTTTTGGTAACACATTCTTTCACAGTGGCTTCACTTTATACGGTGCTCAATGGAAATATTTACACTTTCAGCTATAGTCTCTGAAAATCTTCATGTCACATAATGTATTTAAACTGGCTCCACGGTACAGCACTGTCAGGAAGTGCTAAAAGACCACTATTTTGTACTTTATTTTCTGGATTGGAATGGATTAAAAAATTATGGATTGTGGTTTGAAATTTTTCTCTAGTGTTAAAGGCCTTAATTCCATCCAGCATCAGAAGAAAAATATTACATATTTATATTAAAAAATATTGTACGATATAATATCGATCTTCTCTGTCAAACAGGATCTTACAAGTAGGCTATATTATTTCATCTCTTTCACTTTTTATTGTTCCTGTTAGTAATACGGATTTCGGGTTATTCTACTGCTGCAGTCGGTGAACGTCAGCTTGGATAACATTATCCACTCGGTGTGTATAAGATACATTTTAAAATCACACACATGAATCAGACTTGCTATTTACTTAACCTAATGAGCCACAGAAAATGATGTTGACATTCAGTGGCCCAATTTTGAGCGATGCCATTTCGGCTGATGTTTCATCTGTTGGTGATTCACAAAATGACCCTCTGCTGTTATTATAATCTCCCCTCTTGTTTATGAGTTACAGCTGTTCTGACACTGAGAGGTGGAAAACAGAGCAATCTCTGAAGGCCACAGATGGTGGCAGAGTGTGTGAGTGCATCTTAATTTGTGTTTCTCTCTTTATGCATATGCAAACACCTTAGGATGTGAAGATGGGAGCATGATGAAAAACATGAATAGACAGAGAGAGAGGGAGAGCATCAAATACTAATCCGTTCTGGATTTAAAAGGTGGCTAGCAAAGTGAGAACTACTTTCCCAGCTGATGGAGTCATGTTTATGGACATGAGCACTGGTCATACAAAGTCATAATGATCCCACATTTAAAAAGCCTTCACTGAATCGCTGGTGATTTTTGAAGCTCCTCTTTAGCAAGTTTTTACCTCTGGATCCTTGAAGCCACATGAACCGCAAGCATGTGAAAGCTTTTCTTTTAATGTGTTAGCAGCAGCGTGCATTGTTTCTATTTACTGACGTTCACCTTGACATTGGCCATTATTGAGTTGTTGAGTTGTCTGGAAATTGTAGGAGTTCATAATAGCAGCTTTTGTGGCAGTCTCTTGAATTAAACACTTTGATGCATATTGACTGTGTAATGTGAGTCAGAGGCAGACCTCTGCAGAAGGTTCAGATCACAGCTGAATATGGCACATGAAATTAATAACCAATAGATGCTGGGATTGCAGTGTCGTTTTTCCAAGTGACCCTTGCACTTTCGGTCGAATAAAACATAAAAAATGAAGTTTTTATGAGTCAACGCATTATCTTGCACATAGAGTCTGGAACCGTTGCGTTGTGGTGGTGTGTTAGATGTTTTAGGACACATAACAAACAAAAATTGCACAAGCTCTAACCATGGTTAATGGTAAGCAGTTGTGTATGTTATGGTAAGTTCTACATTTTGGCCTAAATCACTTACTTCTTGTTTTCATTTTGTCCTTTTGCAGTGAAGGAGGTTAAAAGAAGAAGAAGCCTAGAGAAGTGGAGGATATTCACAGAGCACAGGAGGAGGTATAGTAAAAATTTACTCTGGCGTGAAAGGCCTGTAGACCATTAGATGACAGAGACAGGTTTGGTCCAGGTTGTGTTTAACCTAGCTTAGTACAAAGACTAAATTGAGGCGGGAAAACTAGCATCCATTACAAATTTAAAAAATATGCCTTCCAACTGGAGGCGGGTCATTTGGGGCAAGTGAGGAATAATCCCACCTGTTGGTAGCAAGAAAGAAACAGCACTGCGTTATGTTGTCAGGTGTTACACTATTACACTATTAGTTTTAGCTAGGTGTTTCTAATAAACTGCCAACTGAGTGTTTTCCAGGAACAGAATCTCTCATTATGCCATTTTGCTGTTACTCTGTTTGATGGTGCAAGAGACAAAACAAAACTTGCAGTGCCAAATAAAAAAACAAAACAAAAACAGATTGATATACTGATTGAATGTGCGGGTGTGAGAAGGAGGACTCACAAAGTGGATTTGGAGAGACTCAGATCTTGAGTTAATGCAAACCAGCCCTTAAAAATGTGAATGGAACAGTAGCCAGTGTTTTTGAGCCAATGTTCTTCTAAATGCCTCTCCATCACCACACATATCAAATTACAAGAATAAGGGCCCATAACAGATTGGATAGGTGCTATTCAAAACTTTAATTGTATAAAATTTATAAGATTTAGTAGTTTTTGAAGTGGTATAAGGGTATTTTGACCATTTTTTTTTTTTCTATTGGACATTTTTAAATGCCTTGATAAGAATGCATAACATCTGTTTTTTGTCTCGAAAACCCACTGTCTTCATTACTATAGAACGTGTTTAGATTAGCCAAGGTCAGAAGTGTCAAATTGTCAGACAGATCAGTCCCAGCCAGCGAGAAAGAGATAGTTTAAGGCAAATGTTTTTTGAATCACAAGATGAAGGTTAAAGAAGGTTCAGTGCTGTTCCAGTATCAGTCAAACAAACAAGTATCAAGTCAACAAAATGAACTTGAATTGAAAATGAAAAATATATTTGAATGTACTCCCAGCTTCTCAGTGGTGGAGACAATCAGCACTGTGTCCTGTCCAAAAGTGTGCAGACTGTGCACCTCCCAGTGGCACCCAGTGGTCACCTGTTTAAACACTGTTCCTGCTCCTACACATATCCATATGCTGTTCACTTTGTGTGCAAGTCTGTCGGAGTATCATCATGAGATGTTTTTGTTGGATTTGTATGCAGTGCTGATTTAAGTTAATCTTCTATGATTAGCAGTTACAGCACCAATAGGTTCAGCAGTTTTCACCCTTCGTCTTCACTCCACTCCACGCTACTGTATCAAATCCATACCAACCTGCTGTTTCTGCTGCTCGCCCTCAAGGTAAATGTGTCAAGGAGTTTTTCGATGAATCCAGGATGAGGGATTTTAGAAATCACAGCACACTAATTGGCTGGATAGCCCAGGGCTATTATGCCCAACCTAATATAATTTCATCAATGTAGGAGCTGCAATACAAGGCCAGGCACTGGAAATTCAAACAGCCAGGGGAGGCAGAAAGTGTAAAAAAGCAACTTTGTTAATCGTGCAGTCAGTTGGAAGGAACAGTTGAAACAGTCTTGCTTGTTTTCCTTTGCTAAAATGCCTAAATATTTACTAAGTGACACATTAATTGCGAGAGACACAAAGGCATGACATATATGAGTCAGAGCCACACAAATTCTGACATTTTAGCTGCTGTCAGATAAAACTCTTTATACAAAGCTAGAAATGCTTAGACCTGGCCTCCCCTCACCTAAAGTATTGTCTACAAGAAAACATAATTGAAAAGAACGTAAATGTTACATGGACATGTGAACCAACAAGGCTTCTCTCGAAAGATTAATCGCATTTCATCGCAGACAAAGAAATTATCACTATATTCTGGCTCATCTTGATAAAAGATGCACTTTAGTTGCAGCTGTAAATTGGGTTATTTTCGTGTCAGCACATTCAGGGGTCAAGGCTGATTGATGCTGTTTTTCTGTCTATGAAGTGTCAGCTGCCTGCCTTGACAATTTTGAGTGACAGAAATAGGTCATGTCTAGCTTGTAGCAGACAAACAAGAACACGGCCACAGGTTTGTATAATGAGAAACGTGAGGGTGCCCTATTAACATACATTGATTTATTTTTCACCATCTCCTTCTAACCCTTCAGTGACTAAAAGCATCCTGTTTTTCATGAGGACGGGAGTGTTGTCCGTTCTCCCCCCTACACACGCACAAACAAAAAGATCATCTCTCAAGTGAGCTATTTAACAACTGAAACAAGAACAGAGAATAAGAACTTCCGTTTTCATTTTTATTTTCCATAAAACATCGTAAAAAAAAAAGAAAAAAAAAAAAGGTCTTATAATTGATTTAGGAAAGCTGAACACACAAAGGTCACAGAATTGCTGAATTTCTGTCACAGGAAGCTCGTCTATGAAAAGATCATGTAAAGCTACTTTCACATTTGCTTTTGTCATGAAACAATCACATCACATTGAGTCTTTAACACAGCTTTCTAATCTGTCTAAGAAAGAAGTGGACCATTTATTTATTTACATTTATTAGCCCTTTAAAAATATCATTGCACATTCATACATAGAGAACGGTCATTTACCTTTTCACACCAACACTGCTGTGACAAAATGTGTTTGCTGTTGGTGTGAGAGGGTGAACCTGGGTCAATACAGTAAATATAAGGATACTACCTTTGTAACACTTATTAAGTTACACCACACCAATCATGTTGCCCTCCATCTTAAATCTCCACCTATTTTCATTAACCCATTTTATACACGAGAGTTTGTGTGTTTGAAAACGGGCAAGAATAACACATAAAACGTGATGGATGTGTATGGGACATAGGGAAAAACAGATAGACAGACAAAAGATGATTTTTAAAGGATGATACGAGAGGTTTTCCATGTTTAAGCCCTAACTGCCAACCCATGCAACAGGTATATTTCTGGTATTAACAGTAATCTATCACATTGAACATCTTATTGCACTTTTTAGTTTTACATTTATTTGTCAAAGTGATGGTGTGATTTTGAGCGGAGGCTGTTTTGTAAACTCATTGTTGCTGTGGACGAAGCTCTGACAGTGGGAGATTTGAAAGTCTGCTTTTTCATTCAAGATTAGACAAACTCAGTCCTTTCCACAATGTTTACGTTTGCACACTGCTTTCCTTCAAGATCAGATACATATTTATTCTGTGCAATGTTTGTTATTCTATGCAGATTACTATTATGTATAGTTAATCGGGCAAAATGTACAAAACCGTGGGTAGAGTGAGGAACATTTCATTTTAAATCCAGTAGAATAAATGCAACAATCGTCTAGTCAACAAAACCCTTGATGATAAAGCCTGTGTTTTGAAGTTGTAAAGTGCAGTCAAGAATTCAGAATAGAAGTTGTGTTTCAGTATTCACTCAAATAGAATACTTCTTAATACTTTAAAGAGTATAGTTCTGAAAGAGGCAGGGCAAATACTAGGTTGAAGGGTGAATCAAAGGGAAGCTTATTGATTTGGAGTAATGTTTATTCTCAAGTGTCGTGAGTAGCCTTTCTTTGACTCCACCGATGGTGTGGGGGATTCAGCTTCGTCACTCTCACCATGTGCATGTGTGTGCTTAATTGTGCATCTCCTCAGACAATTTCCTGACTGATGAATATTGAGTGTTGACATTTCTTTGAAACTGGGTACTTATCGAGTGAGCACAGCAAGAACACTCAAAAGTGGGTCAGTGTCTGCAGTCATGCTCTTGGACGCAGCACCTCTGAAACCTGTGTGTTCGGCCTCAGCTAAACTGCAATGCAGGGAGCACTAACACCCTTTGATGTGATTTTTTTTTTCCTCTCCCTATCTATTCCAACCTACAGAAAGATGTGTTTGAAAGGCACTGTGGAAGTGTGTTATGTCCTGCGCCCACGTGGCTCCGGAAAGAGGGAGTCTACTGGTGTTAAACATACCCCTCCCTTTCCTCCACAAGTCACAGAGGTGGAAAATAAATGGCACCAGATTAGCCCTCACCTGGTGTGGTGTTGCATGAAGATAAGTTGACGCAGGGTTAACCTGCGCCACTGCTGGAAAGCTTGAGGTGCAGGGAACCAGAGAGAGCAGTGGGAGGGAAGTGGAAAAAAATACAGGACTCTTGTTTATCGGTGGCAATTAACACAGTAGCTCAATATATATCTCTTGCAGATATTTCCACATTTGTTATAAATTAGGGTGACAATTTACAGTTATTTTAATTATCAGTTAATCTTCTTCTTTTGATTTAATGTTTAATCATTTTGTGCATAAAACGTCAGAAAAGAGTGTAAAATGCTGGATAATTTCCTGAAGCCCAAGTATCGTCCTCTAATGTCTTGTTTTATCAACAGTCCAAAACTCAAAGATATTTAATTTATCAATTTATAATATGACACATAACCGCATTATATTCTCACAATTTAGAAGCTACAACCAGCAAGTAATATTTGAGAATCATAATAGTTGCTGGTTAGTTTTGTGTTGATCTAATCAATGCAGCTCTATTGGCGACATGAATTCCTCATTAAATACAGTGGTCTTTGAGATTCCCCTTAACACAAATACCAAAATTTATTGAAGTCAATTAAAATATAAGCAAATGAAAGGAATAATGGCATTGACTGCATGATGCATTAGGCTGCATTCCCATTGAAAAACCCCCCACATTCATTTGAACATCATGCCGTGATCTTTGTGATAAAATGAAATGATTACTACCTTGATAGTTTTCAAGGGCAGTAAAATCCTTCCTGATAATGATGTAAACTCTTCTGCAGTATTATCTGATAAGCATTCAAATGAATGGATCTGTGACTCAAACTGAACCTCACTGATCATATTTCATCATTTCAGTACCTGAAGAAATGCTAATGCATCTGCTTGCATTGCTGTACCGCAGAGCTGTTTTCTTATTCTAAAATACCACCAATGAACTTGTGTGGGAGGGCCCTTCAGTAGCCCCACTGACCAGCAGGGGACTGAGTCTGTGACCATGGCTCCAGGGTCAAGAAAGGAAAACTGCCATAAAAGTCACAAGCCTCCCAACAAGCAGGATAAATAATTCCCTTAAGCTATACTGCAGACATGATAGACTCCTTCTCAGTTGCACCATCAGTGCAGCACATACATCAGTCATCTGGTATAGGGGAGTTACAGTTCCCATGGTAGATATAAACAGGTCCATCACAGCGATAATACAGCTGAAACACGTCTCCGTATCCGTGGTCCCTCCACCAGGTGCACAGCTGCCTGTTCCAGCCACAGGCCAGGGAATAAAACAGTTCAGGATGCTCCATGCCAATCATGGTGAAGAAGTCCTGGTCACCGAGGTGGCCCCTGAAGCGGTACTGGTCGGCCAGTTTGGCCACATTGCTGGGCTTCAACAGCTGGTTGTAGAGCGCTGAGGCCCTCATCGCTCCCAGGTCCAGTAACATCACGCCACTGTTGAAGCCTGGGAGACCATCAGGAGGAGGTTCACCTACTCTGGTCTGAGGGTTCTCCTTACGATACTGCCAAAAGGTGTGTCTGCAGAAAGAGGGAAAGATGTGTTAGCAGAAGCTTAGTCAACATGACTGTGAGTTTGTTGGCAGGGCCAATCGGCAAACTGTAGAAGTGGTTCACATGATGACAATGAATGATGAAAATATTTTACGTTCTAGTCTATATTTGGTATCACAATGACACCAGCCAAGCAAAGGGAAAGTCCATTTGACAAACAGCTGGAGTCACAAAAGGAGAAGTCATCATATTAGTTTTGTCACAGAATCCTATTTTATATAACCCTGCTCTTCTGGAGTATTAACTGTTCCATAAGAGAGGCATGTTTGGCAGCCAGTTGAGAAACAGGAGTCAATGTTACCAAGTGCTTGCCTCACTGAGCTTCCCACTCTACAGATTTTGCAAAAGAATTTTTACTGTGCAACTTTCTGGTGCCTGCAGGATTACTTTTGTCTATGCCCATTAATGACACCCAAACCTGTGCAAAACAAAACTCTTTCAGGTGATTAAAAATTTATATCATAACTACAAGATGCAGAAAAGTCACAAACCATCTGTGACACACATTTCCCTCTGTAAAACACAATCACTTTTTGGTTGAGTGATTAAAAACAATACCTTCCTGAATCTGTGCACAGTCACGAATCTGTGCACCAGCAGTGAAATATCTCACTCATGTAGGTTTGGGCTGCTGTGCATTTAGAAAAGTGAGGGGCATCTCTGTTTCAGTCATTTGCTGAACAAACAACACTGTGGCCAAAAACAGGAAGAGAGTTGGTCCAGGACTGTCAAAGGCTTGTGCCAACTCAGCACCCTGTTCTGCCAATATACCAACTCTCGAGTAGCTAAATGACACACAGAGCTTCATTCAACAAACATTTGTATGCACAGGTTTGATGTATGTGCACACAAGTAAGACCTTTTTGTAGGTTTTCTTAAAATCATCTTATTTCCAAAGGTTTCCTAGGCAAGGAAAGTTTTAGCCTTGTGTAATATACAGTATAGTATAGTACTTTCTTTATATTATGCATAGTGTAAGGGTCACTATTTTTGACACACTTGACTAACATGCCTGTCAGCAAATCTATCCAGCAATTTGATGTGGTTAAGTTGCAGTCCTGACATAAAATTTCTCAAATGTGCAAAATATACTACATTATTCCAGTATTTGTATTTACTATTCATCTCACACTTCTTCCATCTCTAAACAGCTGGACTGCAAAGAGGTGATGCAATGGCATTAATAGAATATACTCAAGGCGTCTGTAAAACAGAAAAGTTTCTAAACTGGGACAAGCAAAGAATACTGAGTGACAGTAAAGGAGCTACTACACTTTGGAGAAAGCCAAAGAGGGAAGGGAGATTTGGGGAAAGGGCCAGTTCATTTGACCAAAGCTGGAGCGGTCCTGCTGCATAGGAAAAAATGAATAGCCTCACTTTTATGCACCGAGTTGTTGATTGATGTTCAACCCCTGATGTTCAGTATGTGTTATTTATTTTATCCCTCAGGAAGAACAGATGAAAATGAAACAAATGAGAAACGGGAAAAAAACAGTATCACATCTACATCTAACGTTTACTCAATGTGTTCATGTTGCTATGGTTTTTATACTTTTATCAAGTCTTCGGGGACCAGTGGTTTCTAAGTTGTGCCTGCACTATTTTTATTTTTTGGGATATTGAAGTGACTTTGTACTTCAAGAAAGTACAAAGTGCTCTTTTCTATATTTTGACTAACAGCTGGTGCAGTGATGTTTCCTTCCTTCCGAACATGAGGATAAATAAGAATCTACCTTCTCGCATGCATGTGTACACGCACACACTCCAAAGAACTGAGATTATTCCTAGTACTGGCCAACTGTACTCATTAAAACACAAGGGGATAGAAGACAGACAAGGGCAGGGAAAAAAAAGAAATTTTACAATCAGCTGAGTTCTGCCGGCTCTCTTGGTGCCGATAAACACGTGGGAAAATTACGTAGGATAATTATGCTGGTTATAGCAGAGGATACCTCTTTCTCTCTCTCTCTTTCTCTCTCTCTTTCTGTGCAGTTTGATCAAATCTAGTGGGAGCAGTGGATTCTCTGAGTCACACTTTGATATTATTACTGACCTATATTCAGCAGCTGTAGCTCGTCCACACAGCTTTATACAGTCTGTTGGGTGAGTAGCTAGGGACTTGTGGCCCCTGTGGGAGTATTTATCATCTTTAAGACATATACTGGGTGTACGTGCCCGCAGACATATTCAGGGTGAGCACGGTCAGTGAGGAACATTTACATAGACTTTTCCATTCTGCTGTTATGACATAAGAATGTAATAAGTGATTCAAACTGCATTTTCTTCAATGTCATGGTGGCCATGATATATGACTGACACCATACTGGTAATGAGACGTGACAGATAATGCGGTGTTAACAGTGATGGGGGACAAAATTCACAGTCCTCGTTAAGTCGAAAAATATACTCCCATGTCAACTCATGAGGCGTCAGCAGTCTGCGTTAGTCAATTAAGTGGTATCTTCGGTAGTTATGCAGTTTTTAGTACAAAATTACCTCTTCTCTCAATAATTAACTAACTACACCCCCCTAACATATGGTATCACATAGCTTTGTGTTGTTTTCATGCTCATTTTTCAAGGGACAAAAAAAAAAACTGGAAAGAGTTTGGCCAACATTACATAATAACCTGAGTGGATGTATAGGACATGTGGGTTAGCTTCAGTATATACTCTATGCTGTGTTATAGTTTCTCTTGCCTAAGTTCTCAATAAAACCAGTCACTTTTGCCTTTGAGAAGTTGTGAGATTTGAGTGTCATGTACAGACTGCAGCTCTGGTCTCTGTCACAATGACTTCAGTTTTTTCTGTTCCTTTGTACCAGAACATTCAAAGTAGACTAAGTCAAACTACATATGTAACCTCTTCCTGTAGCTTAGATCACCGCTCCTACGAGTGCCTTCTTCTCCTGTTCACAGCTCCATGGTCTCCTGCCTCTGATTTTCACTGCCAAGCTTTCAAGTAAAGTGTCTCTTTCTCACTCACGGAAGAATGAAAAGCATTAGCAGGTGACAGGGACATTCTGTGCTGCCATCCCATCCAAATGTGTCCTCCACTTTGTTCAGGACAAGACACAGTCTGACTCTGAAAGCTGCGTAAACACTCTCTCTGACAGAGGGGGATCTGGTTCTGGGCTACACCAATGAAATGTCTGGTCCTTTTCATCACAGAGTAGTTTGGCAACATGATGAAGATATTTTTAAGAGATTTCCAGCCTTGACTGAAAAGAGGAGCCTTCATAAGAAAGCCTATGGTGCTGCTGCAGGTTTAAAATCCAAACTTGCAGAATCATAAAAAGCATGGTTGAATTCATTTATTGCATACAATATAAATCTAGGTTTATTCAAGCCTTTAACACTTACTTTCCAATGAGTTAGGGAATTATGATTGTGCTGCTGTTTTGCAAGAACATTATATTTATTAGTTGCAAAACCTCAAAAAGATCAGCGCAGAGACAGACAAAGATATCACAGTGAGATTGCTACATGACTCACAACCATCTGACTGAAACCACTAAGATATGTAACCACGGGATAAAATTATATTTCACATTCTACATTTGTTTCCACCTTAGAGCAAAAACTGGGAATATGTGGGATGTATCACACAGTGGAGACTCGACACACAAAGCATAAAGAGAGTGACTTGTTTCTGGCTAATGTCTCTCACTGTGTCTGTGTCTGTGGCTCTGGCTGTGACACTTATGTAAGTGGGTCTTGTCTCCTGGGTTTTAAACATTACAAATGCAGCTGCAGAGAACAGGCATGGGGCATTTTTTTTCCAATAATGAACTTTTCAGTGGCAGGATGTGCTCTGAATGTGGCTGGTGGGAGGAGGCGTTCTCCTGCATAATGCTCTGTCCATTAGCACCAAAACAGAGTGGGAGTTGAGAGCCCTCTCCACTCAACACAGGAAAACACTCCAGTGGAGAGGATGCACACAATGCCACGATAATACCAAGTTTCAAAAATTTGATTATAAATAAGTCCATTGGCCGCTGGCTATGGGCTAACAAGCCACCTCACTGGGCTAACAAGCTGGTAGTGGATTTGTTTCTCAAATATTTACTCTTGCTGGATTATCATCAAAATAAAAGACTTTATACACTGACAGTGTTACCACTGTAGCGAGGACACATCACCTTTTTATTAATTCCACTAGGAAATAAAGCAGTGGGTTTTGAATAGAGCTTTGCAGGCTCCCTGGACCCACCAGACGCCTTCTCACCTTCCACAATAAAACTTTTCAGACATGCTCAGGACTTTCCAAATGAACCTGTCACCGTATAATTAAAGTGTCAGGATTAACATAGAACAGAAGAAGGAAGAACCATTCTCCTGTTGTGACATGATAGCAAATTTAACAAGGGAGATTAAATTTCTTTATCACCTTATGGGTTGTGACTCTCAAGGAAAAGAACAGTTAAGGTGAAAATGCTCATGGAACAGAAGATGGAGACTGATATTTTTGTTCAATGAACTGTACTATGTTTTACAAAAGGAGAATCATCATCAATTAAACACATAATCATTGCCAAGCTTCCTCTCTCACCCTTTCTCTATGCTTTTCACACACACAGGCAAACTTGTTTCACTATCCCCGTGGGGTTCACTCGTTGACATAATGCATTCCCTAGCCCCTTACCTTAACTGTCACAAATTAATGCCTAATCCTAACCCTCACCTTAAATTTTAACCCTAAAAAAACTATTAAAAGCGCTGTGATATTTCACCAGGGGGTGGGTTTTTCCAGGATGTCAGCAGTCTCTACCCGTGAGGACTTAAATTTTGTCCCAGCAGTGACACGAGTCCCCATTGGTTAGTGTGTATTCAGGCTGAAGTCCACATACAAACACAATCCAAATAATCCACTGTTACATACAATTTTAGTTATGTAACCGCTCATTGGAGGAAAGTTACAGTTCGGGCGTGAAAGGCTGGTTCTCCGCCCGGAATACCCAGCTGATAT